GAACCCCAAGGACTCCACAGTTCAACCCTGAGCTACATATATTCTCTTCTATTGGTAACACATATGCATGTAGGCAAATGCATTATAGCAGAGTGAAATGGCGTGATAGCTATATCTACTCTCTAACATGTGGACAGGCATACTGTTTCTAATAATTATAGCAGAAAAATACTAAAAGATGGAGACTGGGGAAATGTTAATTTTGATTATAAATCTAAAATGCATAAAAAGCCTCAAGCTAATCAAGAACATAAGAACATGTGTATAAAACAGGTACAGCAGAAATTCAATTGAGAATCAATTATTATTAAATTACTGCAGAACCATGTGCAATTCAGGGGGTAAAAAGTCTTTAAATGGTAATAAAACCATCACAGCCATTGGCCGCAAAACCCAACTTGGTAGGCATCACATTTAGGACTAAATTTGGTGTGACACACCAAAAGTGGGAGAAAGAAGCCTACCTCGTACCATGTACGGGGCCAGGATTTTTATTCAACCCTTTTCAGGGTGTTAACCCTTCTTTTGAATGAACAAGATACATGGATCATTTTACTCATGAGACAACAAAATAATTTAAGAAAAGAAAATGGGTAACTTTAGTCCTGGGAAAAGAATTAAAGTACACTGAGATCCTGACATAGTGCTAGATCAGGATGTCTGACCTTGGAGACTAAGCAATTCCTGAATCAGTAGCTCCAAAAAACTTGAGAGACATCCCATCTGCAACAACATTGTTGCAGATATTGCCCTATCAAGCCTTCTGAAATCTGTATCCCCCAGAAGTGCCATGACTGCTGGTGACTTGGCACTCTGGGAATAGTGGTCCCAGTATATCTGGAAGCGTCAAGCTGAGGAAAGCTGATATACTAATAACAACTAAATATACATCCCATGTCTGAAAGCACCTCGTTATACTGAGATCTGGTTAACCATGGTTTATTAATTATACCACAACTGGCTGGATTCACATGGTCCACTAAGTCAAACTAGCTCCTTTTTGGTTGGACACACAGTGTGGGCCCAGTCACTCTCTTCTAGAAGCTTTTTTCCTATAACTTTCAATGCAGAGTAGCGAGGCTGCTAAAATAACATACCATATGAGACTCACAGATCATAGTAACACATTCAATCAAGCTATAAACATGCATGGCCTCTTTAAGAGCTGTTGCTTCATAACTCAGCCACTCACCTGCTGGCCTGGTGGTGAAGAATTCATGGGGGGCTGTACCTGTAGTGCCATAGAAGGAGACAAAATGGGTTGCTGTGGGACCTGCTGCATGCTGAGGGGCTGGTTGAGGATGGAGCTCTGCGGGTGATGCAAAGACAGTTGCTGATGGAGAGGGGGGCTAATTTGGAAAGAAGGAGGTGGTGAGGCACTGATACTGGGCAACATGGGTTTGGAATTGAGGGTCCTGGAGAGGCTGGGGTGAGGGTGACCACGGTAACTCTGCAGATCCGATGGGGACAAGAAGGAGCCCAAGCCAGGATAAGGTGATGAGGCTTGTGGTGGCATTGTATACAAGGGCTGTTTGGGTGGGATCATTTTTGAAGGTTGGCTGCTCTGAACATTTTTTGTCTCGCCTTGGTCAGCTGAACTCTGTGAGAGAAACACACAGACAAACACATGGAGAGAACAAATGGCAAGTGAAAATGAGCTAAGTACAGCTTGGACATTTGGACTGATGAACAGCATTGTTTGCCTCTCTACAAAATCTTTGTCTTTGCTTCCAGTTATAATAAGAAGAGAAATCTAAGAACAAGTTTAAAATACATGACTGAATATGAATCTCATATACAGATTAAAAAAAAAATACAATGGAAACCAGTGTGACATGGAGACATGTTCATAGTAGCTTTTCTTCACTTCTTGTAACTTAAGATCATTGAAGCAAGCAGGCAACTAAATTAGTATTAATGCCTCACATTCTATATAGTTCCATGACATCTGTGGCTAATGCTATCTTCTTTTCTCTCTGATCTGAATAAACTCTGCTAGAGATTTCACAATCCTTAAGTAGTCTGGGGTAACTATTTTAGAAAAACTAACAGCTTGATGAAATATTGGATTCCTTAAATAAGATGTATAATCATAATATCTGGACCTCTTAGGGCTGTGCCTCTTGTTTTGTTAGATACGGGAGGCATGCTGTGCCATGCTTGATAACATGTATATTGGATGAGAAGCCCAGTTCACAGAGATCTAGGTAATAGAGATCAATTCTGAAAGCTTTCTCTCTATTTTTTAGGGATCTAGCCTTGGGTTTTTTCCCTTCCAGCTGTGAAGACCATAATGCATGCATCCAACATGTGCCTTATTCCTGTGAAGGCCACTATATCTTCTGCTTTAATTGTGCAACTGAATCACAGTGTTCTAGATTTGGGACTTCACATTATTTCTCATAGTATAAATAGCGTACAATTAAGCAAAGGCCTACAGTTTTGGATGACTATTTTAGATTAAGATCAACGGGTGGCAGAAAAATATGCAACAAACTTACTGCATTTCCCAGAGCTATGTTGAATCAACTATAGAAAATATTTTGCACATAACACTGTAAGTAGTACCAGCAGCACAAACAAACTTAGACTTAATTAACATAAAATACTTCAGGGGCCACAGCTTAAACACAAAATAATGCTTTGTACCCAGAAACTCCCAGGATCAGGGTACCTAATCTTCAGAATCTCTAGTTAAAGGACCAAATAATAGGTGAGGAGCCATTGCCAATCAAAGTAGCCAATATCAGTCTAAATGAAATGCAGTTTATTATGATCATTTTTTTCATTCAGCTGCACTTCTTACTTGTTCAGTGCTTAAATCAGAGGTAGGCAGACCTTTGGGGCTCCTGAGCCCAAATTGGAATTTTGAGAGCATGCTGCAAGCGCTTTCACAAAATGCCTGCCCTAGTGGGTGTAGTGATAAAGTTTCCTTCAAACTGAGCTTGACTCCTGGTGACTTTGTAGACGCAACTGTGTAGTTTTCTTTACAATAATAAGGAAATAATCTGCTATTTTGTTCTTCTGGCATGCCATCTTGCAATCTAGCTTACAGACTTAGGATTTCTTGGCAATCTCCCATCTAAGGACTAACCAGAAGGCAAGATGGTGATGTTGATCTCCACTAACCCCACTGTCCCTACAGTTATATTCTTTGCCAGCATCCTTGCTTATTTTCTGCCTAATGGGCAAATTCCCAGGGAAAACAGTTGGGCTCTGGCTCTAATCACACTTATTTTACAAGAATGCTTACATAGCCTATATGAGAACCTCAGGCATTCTTGGAAATAAATTGATCCTGAAGCTAACACTTTGCTTTACAATCAGTCAGCTCCCCATTTATTTATTATTTTTTTAAAATAAACTTTTAAAAAGTTAACTGAGATGGGAGCCTGGCGGGTGCCCATGAGCACCATGTTGCTAACCTGTCCTTATCCATCAGGATCCTCCTTTATTCTCACGGTTTTGACAAAATTGCATATATTATCTGCTGTGCCACCTGCTTACATTTTGTGGATTGCTTCAAATGCAGACAATTCCTAACAGAATTTTATTTATTTATCTCTCTAAGGCAACAGACAGATTTTTAAGGTATTTGCTAGCAAGGATAAATGGGGAAGATATGGTTTTTCTCTCCAAAATCTTCCATCCCAGATATATTTAAATATGAAAGTCATATTTTAAAATTGTCTTTTTCAAAAAAAGAATTCCATAACAGTTATCATTACTGCTTTGCTAAGTGCTGTAAGATAGTGTGGCAATGAATTAAATGCAGCATGAATGGAATACCAATATCAGAATATTCAACCTTAAACTCATTCAGTGCAGTTCTGAATTTTTTGAAACACTTAAACCAATGAAAGGGACTTAAATTATTTCCTTTTTGACCTTTTTGCCACAGCTCTTAACCTTCAAGCATGGCTCAGTTAACTCTCCAGGCAAAGTTCCTCAGTGCTCATTGCACAGCGTGAAGTGTATGATTACTTGATTTTAATTATACTAAAATTAAAATGAGGTAGGGTTTTAAAAAGTAAATTTATTTCCTTATAATATTAATGTTAAAAGCACAGACTCTGCCTGGCCACTGCATGGTTGACTTATGTAAGGAACTCTGTAATATAAATCAAATAAATAAATAAATATAGACAGAGAGAGAGAGAAAGAGAGAGAGAAAGAGAGATAGGGCTCTGTGTCTACAACACAAAGAGCACTATCCCATCTTCTCCCACCACTGTATTTTTGCCCCAGGACCACCCTCTGGTCCACAGCCTGCTTAGTGAAATCACATTCCAATAACAAATGAGGAAGCAAATAGATGTATCATTAAAGAAAATGCCAAGTGACTCTCTGTCAGCTGATAGACCAAGCATGATCAGTAAATCAAGACTCGTTTCTTTGATCCTCACTGTGAGATATTTCTGCCCCTCTTTTAATATTATTTCATTATTTTGAAATAATTTTGAAAGCAAAGCAAACAAGCATTTAAAATGCACTACTAATTAAGAAAAAGAGGAAAAGGCCAATGTTAATTATAACATATAATAATTCCCTTACACATAACAGCTATTGATCAAAGATGGCAATTCCAAACCCACTCAAGAATTTCTATGGGTTAGCAGGATGGATAGGCTTTAAAATATTATTATAGTCCAATGTGTTCTTTGTTTTATTAAATATTCCATTTTTTTCTTGCTTCCACAGCTATTTAATACCATCAGAGTTACTATACCATCTGAGGTTTATATTGTCATTGTCTAAAATGTACCTCTTTGATATCATCCAAAAATAGTTGCCATAAGTTCCCACAAACTACTCCTTCAGCACAGACTGCCATTATTATATATATGAAAAACTATAACTACATTATTCTTTGCTCATAACTGATTATCAAGTGGCCAATGGGTCATACCGCGTATATAAAAAATGTAAATGTAAAAATATGCTCCCCCAGTCACCTACTAAATTCATCCTGAAACAAAATTAATTTAGTAAATCTAAATCTGATAATCCTACTCTTATTTTTTCTCTCTTTTTACTTTCTGAACTCAGTTACCCTTTCCCTTTACATTCTCACTGGGTAGTGTCCACTTTTCAATGCATTTACGTATACATTCTATACTTCTATCGAATTCCAAACAATTCTGTTCTGATGGATCATATATTAAAAATGATGGCTTTGTTTTCTTTTTGTCCCCTTCTACTAGTGGAGGGTCATTCCCTAAATTTTCTTCCACACACCCAACTATAAAATCTTCAAACTACTGCAAATGCTCCATGGAACTGAACAGAGAGTATTTTGTTCTCTCTAAGCCCACATTTGTGGTAGATGTAGCTCACAGGTAACATGCATTCTTGACCTCTAATCCTATGAAAATTGAAAACTGCAGTCTAATGATTCAGTATATTACGTGTTTAGAATTTATGTTCTATGAGTAAAATATGAAAATATGAAGCATATGGGAGAAAGGAATAGCCAATTTATTCAGTAGATCCATTGTTTAAGGTGGTGTGGGAAATCCATGCTTGCCAGTTTCAAAGTACCTCAGTGAGAGCATGCATTGATCAACCATGATACAATATTGCAGTTATATAACTTGTGTAAATTGATCATGGATGACTGTTATGTTATAATTGGCATTCTTTTTATTTTTGCTTTCTTAAATAAGAGAACCTGATCAACTTATTTTAATAAAATATCTCTTTAAAATACCTCTTTCCTTTAGATAAAAACATAACAATGTAGTATTCTGTTTTGACAAAGGCATTTATCTTTCAAATGATCAAAAATGCCATCTCTTTCCCTGTAACATGGCTCTTCATACACACACGCGCGTGCACGCACACACACTTACTTTCTAATGTCTCCATACTGCAAATCTGTCATGGTTTAAACCCAGAAGCAAAACGGCAATGCTAGAATTTTGTGTTCTTCCACAAAGCCTTGGCTGGGCTCTTCAAAGACCTAAAAATTGCTGCCAAATTGTGATTTTTAAACTAATATAGACAGGCAGTCTCGTGTAATAGTTAAGGTCTTGAAAGATTCATGTCTACTCTCAACCACAGCAGCTCAGTGGGTGATCCTGGGCTAGTTATTCTCTTTCAGCCTAACATATCACACAGGATTGCTGTGATGAGGAAACATGGAAGCACTACATACATTACCTATATCTCCTGAAGAAAAGATAATAAAATTAATTAATAAGTAAAATTATTGAATACAGAGAACAATTTTATTAATGGTAAATTAATTATATAGTGACAGTTAAATTAAATTTAGTTTTTAGGTTACTCCTGTCCACTTTTTGGAATGCTTCTCCTAGCATGCCATTCAAAGCCCAACTGTAGCCCTCAACCTGGAAAAGTTTACTCATTATTTTAACATCAACAATTGTAATAGCTTCTGCCTTTAGAAAACCTCAGTTCTACATAATAAAATAAGGCCTATAGCTACAGTGAAGCTGATGAAAACAGTAGGGCTCCTATGTCAAGACTGCAAAACTCTTGTTGATGGCTAGATGGCAGCAAAGAAATACAGAAAACTTTAACTCTGTATTCATCCAGAGTTTTGCAACCCAGATATAGTAGTTCTAGAAAATCGATTAGAATGATTTCATTCAAAATTTCAGTCCCTAATAGACAGACCTCTGGTGCTGTACCTATTTCTCAGGCAGTAAACCATATCACCCACTGTGTACATAGTTCAAGAAATTACGTTCAAGAACGTAAATATGACTTGATGAAGATAATACCATCTAATGCAGACTTCTCAACTTGTTGCCTCCAGATAAAAACAAACTCCCATCACCCACACCTACTGGCCGAGGAAGATGGGAGTTGTAGCCCAATACATCTGGATGGCAACACATAGCCATGTCAGTTCCTGCTATATGAATCATATTGGAAGAATAAAAAAGAGATTTAAAAAAGCTAAGGCATCAGGCATACCTATATTGGATGAACGGGACTTGAATCACTCCCTACTCTGACTCTGCTCTTGCAGACTTTGATGTCAATCTCAACTGCCTGGTTTTGGCATCGGATCATGTAAAGGCAGCATCAGAACCAGGCTATATGCAACAACATCTTGGGAAGGATGCTTTACTTAGGAGAAACTTACAACTTTGAGTAGGCCAACTCTTTCATTCAAGCTGACAGCTGCTGGCTGTCCTTGGGAAGAGGCTGAAAATGTCTAGTAGAAAGAACTCTATTTGAGAACAATCTGCTACGGGAACAAATTTGTGTAATACATTGATCCTATGTACTGCTAAGACATGCCAGTCTTCATTAAAACTTTTATTTCTTTGCCTGACAAAAATTTCTGATCTGTTAATGAACCCTGACCACTGTTCAAATCTTTGCACATCTCAATCCCTGAATAGACTGGGACTAACCTCTGCCTATTGATTCTTCTAAGAGCACTATATTATTTCTGACCCTGGACATGAATGACTTTGCTAAAGTGTTTGGACCAGGATATAGACTGGGGAAGGTTGAATTAATAGGAGTTATATCTTAATGAGCTTAGAATACATGCAGAAAAGTTTTAAATTTCCCTTAATTATACTGGAGAACAAGTATTTAGGCAGACTTCCAAATCAAAATAATTGATCTAGTTATAACACAGAATGAGCCCACAAGCCTTGTCTCCAAAGATTACACGGATACCCCAGAACATTCAATGTTATTTTCATGCAACCAAGAAAACTAGGATTCTTACTATGTATCCTTAAGGCAAGCTGGAGTATTTTGCTTAGCTCTCGCAGAACGTAGCTAACACTTAAATTCGTTTTGATAGCATGGTTATAGTGTGTTTCTTACAAACTTGCTCCTCCCCAGAGATCTCCATGAGTTGCAACTAATTTATCATCGCTACAACCATCGAGATTCACATATGAAGCATAGTCTGTTACCTTGGAAACCAAGCTGGCCCGGTAGGCTGCCAGAGCTTTTAGATATTCCTTCTTTGCTGCTTCAGTTTTCCTTTTATATGCCTGAAAAGCCGAAGAAGAGAATATTAATTAAACAAAAGGAACAGGATGATACTGCTCTGATTGCACAGTTGCTTACGTCTTGCATATTGCCCAAGAGGTCTGTGATACATTTGTTATAAATCCAGTCTTCATATACAGGTGATATGAAAGTGCATTTTATATGCTTTTTCCCAAAACAGAAATTGAGGCCCAAATCAAAACCACCAGAAAACAAACAGAGGTTAAGAATAATATCTCAGCTTATCATGAATGTTTCCTATTTGTTTTTCCATCATATTAGAACATTTATCTAGCCATTCTGATATGATCAAGATAGTTTGAACCAATTAAAATGTTATTTTAGAAGTGGCATGGAGACTTCAAATTCAGAGAGAGTTTGTTTAGAGCTCTAGAAACAAACTAATTATTCATTGCTCCTTTGATGTGGATGGGATCAAAAAAGTGATTTTTACTTTTTTATGATTATGAGTAATAGTAAGGCACCAGGACTTGATGGATTTCTTGTGGAATGGTACAAATTGTTTGTTGATATGTTTTATCCAAACTCTATCATTTATATACGATCAGATTTTTGAAAGTGGCATCTTACCCTTTTCATTTAATGAAGCATATATCAAGTTATACCTGGTAAAGATCATACATTAGGTGCTAACATCCTATTTAACTGATTAATGTAGATATTAAAGTCTTAACTGCTGTTTTAGCCAACAGACATCAGCAAGTGATTGTTTCAGTGGTCAAGAATAATCAAACTTGATATGGATCAGATAATATTTGGCTGTTAATGGTTAATGTTATTGATTTGACTAAAGATGGAAAAGACAAAGCCACAATCCTATTACTTGATGCAGAAAAAGCTTTCAATAAAATCTATAGGTAGTATATACATGTTACCATAGCTAAATTACCTTAGCTATGGATTTCCCATAGGATTTATAAAATGGGTCCAGTTTCTGTATTCAGCCTTAGGTCTAATCAATGGTCGCCTTTATCTAGTTTTTCACTCGATAGAAACACTAGATAAGGATGTCCATTCTGATTTTTGATATTTATTTGGAACTCTTTGCTTGTTCTATTAGACAAGCTCATAATATCAGTGGGTTTTTTTTTTGCACAGTTCATTAGCATATAAATTGGTATGATATGCTAGAGATAGTTTATTGTTTGTTTCTGATCATACTTTGATTCTGGCTCTGAAACACTTGATTAATAAATTGGGGCAAATTAAGGGATGCTCTGTTAAGTGATCAAAGATGGAGCTGATATCAATAAGCAATTATCATTTTTGTATGTGTACTGAATTTATTAATTGTTAAGTATTTGTATTCCATGTGATATTTCTCAGATAATTACATTAAATATAAATAAGATATTCAAAAAATATTTGGATTAGGTAAGCATTCTCAAAATGAATGTAATTCCCAGGATACTTTATATTGTACATGGAAGTTCCATATACATATCTGAAAAACATTTTCAAAAACTCAGTATACTATTTGTAAATTTCTGTGGAGTTCCTCAGTTCTGGAGATGTCTTTGAAAAAGATGCAGTTGTTAGTTAAAGATGGGAGCTTTGGTTTCCTGAATCTTGAGTTATACCATTATGCATATCTTTTCACAGGTACCAAAACTAGGGTAGTTTCACTTAGTATATATTCCTCTTTTCTAGGTCCTTTTGGAATACTCACACATAGCACTTGTAGTTAATTGGACTGTTCTGAGTCCAAAATAGATTAGACACACTTCCTGTCACTATTAAATTGATTCATAAATTGTGGTATACTATTTCTGGAAAATTGCATTTTGATCCAATATTGAATGGCAATGAGTTTTTATCATTTCCTATGTTAAAGCATAAAAAATTATTTGCCTATTGCCTCCTATTGGCAGTATGTATAGCTACAACTTCTATTGACATCTTGATTTGGAACAGTAGCATTTTCAGCTTCAGAGACACCTAAATCACTCAGAACGACCACTAACCTTATGAGACAAAGAAGTCCACAATTAGATTCTATAAATACTTGCTATCAATACATCAATTTGATATACAAAAATTTAAAGACTGAACGGAACTGAAAATCCCCATTTTCTCTAAATAATGGAAAACTGCCTTAATGTCTGTATCAAACATTTCAATAGATTGCGGACCAAAATTTGATCAGCAAAAAATATTTCAGACTGATTGGACCTCATTGTGTATGTACAAAAAAGGAATTCATAAATCATCATGTTGCTGGAGATCTGTTGAAAATAACACTTCACTAAAGCATATCTTTGTGATGTCCTAAAATTATTATATCCTGGGAAGAAGTCATAGCAATTTGATTTTGAGCAAGGGTTCAATATTTTTGGATGTCCGTATTCTTTTGAATTACGCAATCATTACATGGAAATTGATGGGTAGAGAACAGAAGTGGATTCTCCACACCCTTATCACTAAGAAATGTGTCCTTCAACATTGGAAAGATAAATTTATGGCCCCAACTCAGTGAACTGAAGACCTGATATTACTTGTGATTTAGGAATAAATTGCTTACAGATGTGGATTATGTATCACTGATAATTATATTTTTTATTGAATCTATTGTGCAGAATTGAGATTTTAAAATGTTTCCTTAAACTAGATTAAAATAAAATAAAATAAAATAATAATAATACATCCTGCAACGATACCTTTAACACCATCAAACAACATCTGCCTATCCCAGGTCCTTGGGAAGGACTTGATAGG